CTGTCAGAAATCATAGCACGTCAGCTGTCTTAACCGCGGCTTGTGTACTGCATCATCACTGTGTCTGTCACGCAACTCTGTTGCCCTTTCAGGCTTGAACTGATGGTAAAACTAAGGACATTATGTACTGTCTTGATATTTATTTTGAAAGATGAAGCTGCGATTATGGTAAGGGGCGTTACATTTCCGACGAGTGCTTGTGGTGTTCGGCCAATCACAATGCACTGGGTCAGCTGGCCAATCAGAGCAGACTGCGCTTGTCGGAAGGAGGGACTTTGTAGAAAACGAAGCGTTTGAGAGAGGCGGGGCATAGAGGACCTACAATAATGTACAGTATTTGAAAAATAATGTGTTTTTTGAACATTAAAGCATGTCAACATATTCTGTTACATCAAATACACAAAATAATGATCTTTAAAAAAGCATCATATGACCCCTTTAAAAAAATTACAAATGATAAAAGCACACAACAAATTAATAAAACTTCAAATCTAAAACTCAAGCTGCGGGATGTCATGAACAACGAACCCCATCGGTGCGTCCCAAATCGCGTGCTTGTGCACTGTTCTATGACGTTTAGTAGTGTAAATGGTGCGAGTGGTGCGTTCACACTGAAAATTCCAAACAGAAAAAGTGCACTTTAAATACCCGGATGATGCTCTTAAATAACCAAAAAAATGAAGTGTGGAATGTTGGACACTTTATATATATATATATATATATAATTATTATTTTTTTTTATTTTTTTTTTTTATGTTGGACACTTTATGCACTCAACTGTCGCAGCTTTAATTAGGTGCTATCCGACTCCGTTTATGAATGACAAAATAACCTTATATAATTCATACTATACATGGCTGAGTACATAGTGTATGAGTACATAGTGTATAGTGCGTTATTTGGGCCGCAGCTCGTGAGGAAGTGCGTGGCGTTCCCGTGATCCCTTGCGCCGGAACGCGTTTGTTCCGTAGGGCTTCACTATGGCTAGCGACGGGCCGCCGGGCGCTGATTCAAATGTAGACTTTAACGCATGGACTCACGGCGAGCTGCAGGCCAAACTGGCCGAGTTTGGAGCACCTAATATGGGTGAGATGAAAACGTTTTATTGCGGTCGCTGTGGCGGAGTTTGCCTCGGTTTTTCTCTCGTTAGCTAGCGTTAGCCGGTTATGCTCCTGTCTGCTGCAGGCCTTCAGTACACTAAACTTCGCGCTAAAGTGTGCTGCACATGTAAATATGTTTCATGGGAGGCTGTATTTATATTTATTCGGGTAGTAAACACGCGTTTGGTTGTAATTGGCGTTAGCTACTTAAACACACCAGCACACATTAAACTCACGCAAAACGTGTTTAATGCAGTCCAGTGTTGTTTATGATATCCATTTGTGCTTTTTGTCTTTTTTTTGTCTTCAGGTCCCAGAGAGGAGCTCATAGACAGACTGAAATCTTATGCACAGGTCAGTTAACTGCAAATCTGCCCGTGAATTGGATTTACTTTTATGAACATTACATTTTTTTTTTACACATTTTTGTTTCGTCTGCAGTCTGGGATGATTTTAACTAAGCCGAACATGTCAGGAGGAGATGCCAAGAGCATGACTACGGTACTGCCATGTTTCCTTTATTCTCTTTATGCTTTTGTGTTTGTAATTAGTTGTGTTTGCAGTGGCAAGTTTCCTTTATTTGAGAGCCAGAGCATGTTGTGTGTCTCAGATGCCAGGTCTGCCGCCCATGCCCCCGATGCCCTCGATGCCCCTGCCGCCGGGCATGAACATGATGCAGGCCATGAACATGATGGGGGGCCCTCCACCCATCCACATGGGCATTGAGCCGCCCGGCATGATGCAGCACGACGACAGAGCCGCGCAGGTGAGAGAGACACCCCTTGCATGGCAGGGCTCCAGACTGCTTCTGTAACGAAACCGCGCTACAACCCGGTCCGAGCTCAGAATCTCTCTATTCTAATCTCTCCACACTGTTACTGCACACACAGAGCTGCGAGATCCAGTGAGAAGCGCTTGAATTCTGCTCCGACTTCTCTGTTATAAACCGATCAAACAGCACTGACGTAGAAAACCAGTAGTAGTAATGCTGATTATAACCATGCTGTTGTGGCAGAAATAGTCAAACGTTATTACATTATTCATTTCGGGGGTTTGTTCAAACTTTTTGAGAGCGAAATGCAAGCACTCAACTATTTCCAGCACTTTAAAGCTCTAAACATGATCCAAATTTCAATGATATTTTTAATGGAATGAGCAAAATATGCTTTGTGGTAAACAAACACTTCTGGAAAATAAAAAAACAGACATCAAATTATCACTGTAACCAGTCGATGGCAGCAGAGGAGCACTTAATGGCTGATTAGTCATTCATTTCCACTTCTGGCTTTATAGAATATCCAATTTTGTCAAAGTTTGTGAAGTAAAAAAAGTCAGAAAGTGCCTTGAAAAACTAACTTTTCTTCGGTTTGCGACTGAATCACACACAAAGAGTGTTCCTTTTATAATCGCTGAAGTTGTCGGTCAGTTCAGTATAGTACTATAGAAGAATAATGGTACATTTAATAAGAGTAGAATATATACATTTTCTATATAAAATTAGATTACTGTCGTTAATAAAAGTACATTTTGTATGCTTTGCAACTCAAGCTCAGTGCTTTACTGTCAAATGTGTATAAACGGGACATGAACATGTAATATTATTAGGAACTGCACTTATTAATGCAAAATAACAGTAATTTTATGATTTCAATTCTTTATTTTTAATACTCCCATTAAGTATTAATGGGAGTATTAAATGAAGCTTTATTTATTTAGAAATCAGTTCCAAATAGGGCTGGGTTTTGACACAAATCTCACAATTCAAAGCTCATTCACAAGTTTTCGATTCAATATAGATTATTTTGGATATATATCAGGTACAGTGCATGCCAAATTTTCTCTAGGAAAAACAAATCTCTCAACTAATGCTGTAAAATATACATGAGTCAGTTGGTACTACATTACTGTCGTTAATAAAAGTACATTTTGTATGCTTTGCAACTCAAGCTCAGTGCTTTACTGTCAAATGTGTATAAACGTGACATGAACATGTAATATTATTAGGAACTGCACTTATTAATGCAAAATAACAGTAATTTTATGATTTCAATTCTTTATTTTTAATACTCCCATTAAGTATTAATGGGAGTATTAAATTAAGCTTTATTTATTTAGAAATCAGTTCCAAATAGGGCTGGGTTTTGACACAAATCTCACAATTCAAAGCTCATTCACAAGTTTTCGATTCAATATAGATTATTTTGGATATATATCAGGTACAGTGCATGCCAAATTTTCTCTAGGAAAAACAAATCTCTCAACTAATGCTGTAAAATATACATGAGTCAGTTGGTACTACATTACTATAATATTGAAGGTTAAAACTGACTGATTTGCAGGCTACACAACTGCTAAAATTACACTTAATTACGTTTTAAAAATAATAGTTACAATTACATAATATTTCCACTTCATTTCGTTATTGTTTTATTTTTTATTGGCTATAAACATTTAAATGGTGGCTGTCATAAAACTTGATGGATTTATTCAAACATAGGGCTGGACGATATGGCCAAAATTGAGATCACGGTATATTTCTTAATTTCGGTCGATACGATATAATTCCGATATCGATATGAACACCATTTATCTGAAATGGAAATCTTTTGTAACATTATAAATGCCTTTATCATCACTTTTGATCAATTTTAAGCATCCTTGCTAAATAAAAGTATTCATTTCTAGAATGTCTTTCCCAAAAAAATTATAAAAATTATACTGAGTGGAATAGTGTATAATGTTACAAAAGCTTTTTATTTCAGATAAATGCTGATCTTTGGATCTTTCTATTCATCAAAGAATCCTGAAATAATTTACTCAACTGTTTTAAATATTGATACTCAGCAAATCAGCATATTAGAATGATTTCTGAAGGATCATGTGACACTGAAGACTGGAGTAAAGATGTTGAAAATGTACCTATGTATGATCACAGGAATAAATTACATTTTAAAATCTATTCAAATAGAAAGCTATTTTAAATAGTAAACATTTTTCAACATTTTGCTGTACTGATCAAATAAATGCAGCCTTGGTGAGCAGAAGAGAATTCTTAAAAAAAAAAAAAAAAAAAAAAAAATTTTATTTTA